AGATCTCCAGGCCCAGTTTGAAGTGATGCACAACTTTGCACGAGAACGAGTCAAGTTGGCAACGGAGAAGATGAAGACCCGATACGACACAAGAGCTACTGAACATCAATTCCACGAAGGAGACAAGGGGTGGTTGTGGAATCCGACTCAACGGAAGGGACTCTGTTCGAAATTACAGTCACATTGGGATGGTCCGTACGCAGTCCTAAACAGGCTGAATGATGTCGTGGTTCGGATCCATAAGTCTTCGAACTCTAAACTTGAAGTCGTTCATTACAGCAGATTAGCTCGTTACTATGGCCATAGTACGTAGTGTAAATAATTGTAAATAGTGCGAGACCATGGTCGTTTTTGTTTCAAAATGTGTATTTGATTTGACTTGTATTTAGTATTTGATTTGTATTTAGTACTTGATTTGTATTTTGTATTTGATTTGTATTTTGATTTGTTTTAGTTATTGCATTTATGCCGTAGTTGCAAGTTTGGCTTCCTGTCCAGGGATTGTATAGCCCGGGATGTGCAGTCTTTGGGAAGGGGGCAGTGTTACGGATTTGGTATTTAAATAGCTAATGTTAGTTGAATTATAAATTAAATTGTTTTATTCCCCGTGCAGTGCAGTGAGTGATGAATATTAAAGAAAGCTAAGCCGGAAAGTTAAAAATACAAGAGCATGTGCATTTAACATTTAATAAATAAATATCTCTTTTTGCTTTCGAGAAAATTCCAGAAATTTCTCGCGTGCGATTTAAAATCTTATAAAAAGGAGGAAAACCTCTCAATTCAGTTAGTTTTGTTGTTGTTTTAAGAGTTTGTTTAGAAAACTGCTCTTGTTGACTGTAGCGAATTCGTGGATTAGCTTTCTTTAGCTGTTTTGAATTAAGTTCTCTTGAGCGTTTGAGTAGTTAAAAGATAACTATTGTGAGATATTGTAATAGTGCGTGAATATCTGAGAAAATTTAAGCATATTTGTTGTAATAATAATAAATTTTGTTAATTTTTCATCGTACTTGTGCATTCGATTCACACGAACCGTACGCTCGCAACAATATGTTTCCTCTGTAACTAGTGGATTTTCCATGAATCAAATATGAAATTATACCTGTTCTATTTGCCGCATAAATGAAACGTGGCTTCATCACAGAACGTGAGTTTGTCCATGAAATCATCTACGCATGATTTCATCCATTTAACTTTTCGACAATTTTTAGTGCTTGAGCTTCGTCAGATTTATAACATTTAAACTGCAGAAGCTTGTGCAAAACATGCCATAATTTTGCTTACTTGTTTCTTTGATGATGAATGGATTTACTGAGGCTTCAAGGCTAAATGTTGCAAGTGTTTTCCACCATTCCGTTATTGACTTCTGCTTAGTTGTTGGCCTGGACAAGTGTTAGGACATTAATGCATTTTTCTCGCACAAGCAACCCCTGCCTTTAAACTGTTTCATCTGCTTTTCGACACTGTGACAGTAAGAGGCTTTTCAAGCAAATTCGATTCGAAAATATCCTAAACAACAAATACTAGTAGAGTTTTTATATGTTAAACCCACAATGAATTTTTTTCATTCATGCTGCCATTTTGAATGGCATTAAAGAAGATGAATTTTAAATTCAGCTCCTCTAATGAGTTTTTCACTATTTTCCTATAGAAGTTAAGAGGCTATCACTCCTAGGGACGCGGGACAATTCCGAGAAACGAGAGTCTAGTAGCACTGCTTTAAGCGGGAGGCTTCCGAGAAATGTTTCATCTAGCTAGGAGGAGGAACATGTCCCAGCTACTAGCAACATTTTAAAACTTTTCTGAAAATGTTCCGGCTGGAAACGTGTTCCTCGAACGTTCAACCAATCAGATGAATGTTTTGCTTCTGAAGGATCACGGGTAACTTTCAATATGGCGATTGCTCTGACTGTGAAGTCACGGATGATGGAAATAGAGGCCGATTTAATTATTGCTGTTTTGTTGTAATATAACTGCCTGATGCCTGAGTCATTTTAAAAATATTTATATATTCATTAAATATATAATTGTGGAAATTTCAGAGTTGACAATATTTTAGGACATTCTTGCCGTCGTATTTGTTTACAAATTGTTCGTCGCAAAAGTTCGCCAAATTTGTCGTATTTTGTGCTGATCAGGTATTATCACTGTTATATAATATAATTTTATTTCTTAAATTTAAGTTGAATAATTTTTTAAAATCCGTTTGTATATGCGCGGCATTTTTCCTAATTACTTATCTTTTAAATTGTTAATTGCATAATTAGTGACACATTTTAAACAGCATAAAAGATGCATAAAAAAGGAAAAGCATAGCTTATGTAATAATGAGAATACTCATTAAATTTGTCTGTTATTTTCATGTTATTAATGGAATACTTTTTGAGTTATAAATACATTAGAAACTATACTTTTATTGTAAATGCTACATATTGAAGCATTGGAAATATGGATTTATTATTATGCATGATGAAAAACATTTGTATATGCATTCATTAATATAAATCTTATTCTTTACATTAATACTAATAAATATATATCAACGACTTCTAAACCATCGCATCTTTCTATCTGTATGTAAATATATGACCTATTAGTGTGTATGTATGACTTATATGTATGAATACAAAAATGAACATTACTGAAAAGTTTATTTGAAGTTACTATTAATTTATACAACAATCATGTAATTGGCAGCAACTGTAGTCATCAGTTCTTTGCAAATTATTATGGATATGTAATCAGTTGAAAAATAATTGATGAGCATTTGAGTATACTAAAGAGTGTACACATTTTGTTATTGGGCTAATTCATAATTATATCATATGTATGATATATGTAATATAAACATGACTAATAAATAATAAGAAATGTATCAGCTGTGCATTTATAACATTTGATTACTTAAAACAGTGCATAACTGATTATCACCTTCATGTCTGTTTACATAATGAATTGTACTTTCCAATTAAGTGCATGGGCCTACTAGTGGCCGAAGCGTCTTTGAACACTGGTAGTTCTGTCTCAGGTTAGAATGCCGCGAACAGGCTAGCTATATGGGCATTTTCTTGGTTTTACCCATTTGTAACTGGTATACGAGCCAGTTTTAAAAAAATCTTCTACAAAGGGATCCCTTCTGTTAGGCAGATATCCCTCGAGGCTTTACTGTAATCACATAAAACAAACTCATGATGTGCACCACCTAATTTCTAGAGTTTGTATAATTAATGTGTTTTAGGTATATTACTGAGTGTTCTATGGGACAGTAAACAACTCGCACATGTTTGATTGCTCTGTATTCATATGCTTTATTTGATCTTCATTTTTCTGAATAGTATCTGCTGGCTGTGAGGATGTGAATATCAGCCATATAGATTTATGTCGTAGAAGGTCTTCTTTAAAAAAAATTTTTTTTGTCTGTTTATTTGTTTGAAGAATGGACGGAACAGTAATTATGAGCCATAAAGTTAGTGAAGAAATGCTTTCATCAGGTCATAAATTTTCCAGTGAGCCATCAAATTTTCATTGGAATGCAGACAACAGAAAATACACGTAAGTAATGTCTGATAAATAGACTTATCCAGCACATGTTTTAAACTATTCTTAGTGTATACAGAATTTGGCTATTACTGATGTAATTGACTGCTATAACCAGAAGTGTGTTTATCTGTTACTTGAAGTGCCAGAGTGGAGATCTAAGTAATTAACTTGATAGCAATCACCTTTCTATTATCTTCCGTTACTAACAATAAAGTTTAAAGCGAAAAGAGTGTGAGCGATACAAAACAACACGAAGAAGCAAACATCACTTAAATGGAAATGCCACTTTCGCCAATCTGAGCGATAACTGATTCTTCTTTGACTTTCAGCCTGTTTACCAAGTGCAGATGGTAACCGTATTTCGCCAAAGAGCGTTTCTCAGAACTGTTCCACCAAACGTTTTGTTCCGGCAACAAATATATAAATTCGTGTGTGATAAGGGTTTTAGAGAGTTTTAAACCTTTCTTTTGGTGGTTGCAAAAAAATGTGAAAAAGATTTCTTAAAAATGATGTAACATGCTAAAGGACAGGGAATTAACTTCAAAGGATACAAGAGCTTCCTCCATGAAAGATGTTTTTTCAGTATTTACCTTAGCTATTCAAAGACTGAGTAAAACTAGTGTACTAGGAAGAATAGCATATCTTCCAAGACAATGGATCATGACTTTCCTTGTGAAGCAAGGAATTTACACATAAAGAATGTAAGCACTGGCTAAAAAAACATTGAACTAGTTAGGTTTTATTTCCTACAGTTGACTTTTTCATCTTAATTAAAAATGTAATCTTTATTTATTTTAAATAGTTTTATTAATAGCTATATATTTAGTAATAGTTTTTTGCAATTTTTTTATTTATTGTTATAAGTAAATTAGTTGAATTTGAATTATTAAAAATTTGCTGGTAATCATTCTTTTATAAAATTCATAGATGGGATATTTTGGCAGATTTGAATCAGAAGTGAGATGACTAAAAAAATTGTTTCTTACCAATAACTATAAAATTTTACTGTTGAAAAAGTCTGTCTGGTATCGATGAGCATAATATGCAAAGGTGTAGACTTATTACTGTATCATCTTTTAGTGTAATGTCTTGAGTAGAAAAAAGCAGGTTTATATGTGATTCATATATGCATTAAAAGTTTCCAAAAATATATAATAATAAAAAAAGGGGGCTTTAAAAATATATGCGTAGATGCTTTTTAACAAGCTTAGAATAATCCTCTTTCTATGACTACAGAATGTGTGCAACTTGTTTTTTTATGTTATATATATATATATATATATATATATATATGCAAACACTTGATTTTATTTGGTAGTTTAGGTATATAATAGAATGGGATTTTCCCTTCTTTCTAATACTTCTTCAATAAAATCAATCTTTTTCTTTTATTATATATATAAAAAATAAACTACCTTTTCATGTGTTTCCATTTTTACTCAATTAAGTTTTTATTTCCACAGGCTGCATTAATTCTGTATCTTTTAATGAAGAATCTACTGTTATTCTCTCAGCTGCTGGAGACAATACAATTTGTGCTTGGGACTGCAGAAGTAAATCACGGGAACCTATACAGGTAAATTTTAACGGATTTAAAAAGAACATCTTTTTTTTTTTTTTTTTTAATTTGTAATCTTATAAAAGTAATTCATAGGTATTTATAACATAGTAGAAAGCCAATAAATGAATTACTCTTTTAAAGATTAAATTGCCAATATTCTTTTGATTGACTTGTATTAGTTTGCAGATAGTTTTACTAATAATCATATAGTTTGTTACTATTGTTTAAATAACAAAAGCTAAATATACAGGTTTGAGAATGCAATTGAATTGGGTAAGTAGTGGAATTCTTGTTGAAAATAAAGTATGGTTTTTCTGTTTTTATAAGACCATGATTACTATAGTCATTGAAATATTGTTATCATTATATTGTATTGCAGTAATTCATTTAAGAGAGAAAGCAGGCTTAGAATATTAGATTAATTCTTTGCTAACTCTGGAATCTTTGAATCTAATGTCACCTAGAGTGTGTAAATTTGAAAAAAATAAATTGTATTTAATGCAAGATTTGATTAAAACTGGAAAAAAAAAAAAGTTTTTTTTAGTTTTAAATTAGTAATTATATTAATAAAGTTTAAATAATAGGGCATTCTATTTTAAAAAAAAAATAAATTATAATGTTTCAAATTGTAACCCTTATCTGAAATTCCTCTCAATACATTTTATTTTAAAGATGCTTTTTGCAACTTTTTATTGTATCTTTTAAAAGAAAGCAATGTTTTGTGCCAATTCCAATGTGGTAATAATATAACACAATAAATTATGGTTATGATATAGTGTGCAATCTACTGCCTTTTTGTTAGTTTGTTATTTCTTAAATGGCACTACTAAAATACTCTTTTTTTTTTTTTTTATTTTGAACATGCAGGAAAATGGTGGGGGTAAAAGAAACGATTAAACAACAACTAATTTTAGTTCTGCCATCTAATAAATAAATAAATATAATTAAAATTGCAACTACGTCATTTTACTCACTTTTATTAAGATGATGTGTTAGGAAATGTTTAAATAATATATCTTTATAATCATCCAAAGTAAAGTTTTCATTAAAAAATTATATGCAAATGAAATTTCTGCTGGAAATTGCTCTCTTGTCTCACACTGTGAATGAGAGAAACTAAGCATTATTATTTATTTAAGCTAAACAATCTGCTGCTTTAATGGTTGAATCACAGTCTTTAATGCATTTTTTTTTAATACAGAAGATACTGAGGACAAATATTAGTTTTTGGATACACATTTGCAAAAGATAATTAATAAAAAGATAAGGCAGGAATAGAAATGTATAGGTTTCAGTTTCCCATTTGTTGAAATGCCTAAATTTATTATTTTTATTTCCTTGTACGAAGTAAAAAGGAAGTATTGTAATCGCGAAATGTTTCAGGCATCATATTTCAACGAACATATCCATTTTGACTGCTATCGAATGCAATTTAACGATGTTTTTGCATGATATCTGTACGTAAGTAAGAACAGAATAAAAGACTCGTTTCTAAATATATATATATATAAAACTGCTTTAAAATTAATTCTGAAGAGAATTTTTCGTGGCGTCTGTACGAACATATGTACATACGTATCTCGCATAACTCAAAAATGAGTAGCCTCAGAACGTTGAAACTTTGTATATAGGATTGCTATAACATGAAGATGAGCATCTCGTATTTTGGTTGCAATCGGCCGCGCCAAACGTATATAAATATATTTATATATATATATATATCCACTCTGTTACCCGGCTCAGTGATCTCAGTTTCTCTTATATGTTTGTAAATTGTACATTTTTTGCTTTAAAAATGATTGAATTATGTTGTTTTTAATCTTCCAGTTAAGGTTTTTATGCCTTTAGTAAATCTGTATGCAATATTTTTAGAATTATCAACAATTTTAAAATTGTTTAAGTGCCGCTAAGCCTTTTTTTTTTATGGCGGCCATTGATTGTTTACATTTGAAACAGCAGACTAGTGGATTTGTTGCCAATCTAGAGAAACCTAGCTTTGCAACAACAAAGATAACGCCTTCATTTATTATTGCCAATTAAATCATGCTTAATCCTTTCTGGAATTTTTTCGAGGAAATAAGTGTTTAAGATTTACTTTGTAATTTTTAATATAGATATTTTAAGTTTTTATGTATTTTTGCCTTCTTGTGAAGTGAGAATTGAATTAATTGAATGAGAAATACTCAATCGTCTGTGAAAAACTGTTTCTTGTTTGTTTTGTTTGCTTGATTTCTTTTATACATCGTTCTAGCTTTAGTATAGTATTTGAATAGAACATGTGGCAATGATTAGATAATTCTATTCTTTAAATGATATAAATTTTGTGTATTATGAGTTATAATATGAACAAAATATAATACTGTTAAGTGAATCTAGCTCCAGAGTGTCGCTATGGTAAACAAATACTAGAGTGAATTTTAAAGAATGCATTTATTCTATTGTGGTTTATGTGCTGTCGGCGAAGTAGATTTAATTCAATTATATAAGTTTAAATGAAATGCAAGAAAAAATGCGTATAATTTAATATTTCGTACAAGGAAGTCATGTGGTGTACACATCAGAGTTTTTATGTAAAATAGTTCAGTTCTTAAATTGCTCCTGAAATAATGCTTTAAGTGTTTCTTCACATTTTCATTTCATTTTTTAAACTAGAATTGTGAGTCTTTAACCAGTCATTCCACAGATATTTAGTTGTGCTTTTTTAAAACACCCTATACATGTTATGGGAAAAAATAAGACTAATTAAATATTGATTTACTTAGATTATGAGAGATGCGAAAGATGCTGTGACCTCACTTTCAGTGTCTGATCATGAAATACTTGCTGCTTCTTTAGACTGTTGCATTCGGCGGTATGATTTACGAATGGGACAGTTATATCAGGATAATTTAGGCTGTAAGTTTTTTGGGAAATTGATTTAATTTTTAGCAGTGTTTTCATAATTTAAATGTATTTTTTAAAATATGGCTTTAGTAAATTGTTTTTAAATGTTTTATTGTTTTGCCAATTTCTTCAAAATATTTTAATGCTTCTTTTCTTTTTATTTTTGTGAGATTTACATTTAAGAGCAACAAAAGATCACATTATGTACATCTGAAAATGATCATTATCAAAATTAGTACTGTTACTTAACATTTTTTTTTTCATTACAATATTGAAATTAGTACCTTTTCTACTTTAGAAATATTTAAAAAAATGGTTTTTAATTTAACAGCTGGGCTGTTGTGATGCATTAAAATACGTAATCATTGCATAAACAGCAAAATCCAAAAGAGAAACATTCATGATACTTGAAAACTATGATTTCCTTATGCTTTCCCTTTTTTTCTTTTCTTTGTTTCTGGAAGAGCAGTAAACAAAGTTTTGTTAAAAATGTATGTAGATTTAAACAGCATAAATTGTTGCTGACTCACAGTTTTGTAATTCCTACAGTTTGAAATATAAGCATGAATTACATGTTTTAAATAAAAAATAATCTCTTAAAATGACTTATATCTTATAATGCTATTTATTTAGTAAATTTTTAAAATGCTTTAACATTTTTTATTCATAATTATATCAAATGTTATGCACTGTATAAATGTATAAAGCACTATTTTCATTGACTGTAGTACAAATAGAAGATAGTACCTAATTTATTTTTTTTCTTAACTGTTGATTGTTAGGACTTTTAACATGACTGTACTTGATTAAAATTTAAGGTATTGAATTATATTTCTAAAAGTTAAGATTCAGTTAAGTAATGAAATGCGTATTTCGATAATATACTCATTTTATCAGTATTCATTAATTTATTTTATCAGTATTAATTTAATAGTTCATTTACTGTATTTTTAGATATTTCATCTGTGATATTAGGTGATATTAGTTTTGTTTTATTTAAGAGATAAAATTATTAATTTACTTTGGTCATTAAATGAAAACAATAATCAAGTTAATCTAATTTCAGGTTCTGTCAACTGCATTAGGTTTACTAAAGATGGGCAGTGTGCGTTAGCTAGCTGTTTGGACAATGCTTTGCGACTTGTCGATAAAGATAGTGGTGAAATCCTTTCAGAGTAATATTTTTAACCTTAGAATCTTTTTATATTAATACTTTTAAATATGGAACTTACTACTTAATTGATGCTTTTTATTTTCATTTTAAATATGCAAATGGCTATTTTAAAGTATCCGAAAGGTAGAAATTGTTTATAATATTGTTTGTAGTAATTTTTTTGAACTGCGTCATTCCAAATTAATGTGTTACATGCTTGCTTATATAATTCTACAATGTGCAAAGCTTCTTAAAGAAACTTTGACTATATATACCACACTTCTTGAATGTGCATTTCCTTTTTTCTACTTCACCTTGCTACTGCTTAGTCATGTCACTTAGCCTTTGCTGTCTATCATCAAGTTGTCTAAGTAAATATAAGCTGAACCCAGTTGGAGTGGCGCATATCACATCTATAAAGCTGAAGTATGAAGAATATGTATTGCAAGAATTAATCATGCAGAAATAAATTGTCATGTACCTTCGGCAACATCTGCTACATTTTCTTTGTTACGTATCATTCAAACTATGTTTCAATGCGAGATGCATACCAAGCAAAAAGACAGATATAGGTGCAAATTATTGATCATAGACATTTATACTAATTAAATGATTGTGTTTCATCAACATGGAGATATTTTATTTAGTGCCAAAGTGAAATTAAGAAACCCTTCACATGCTTTACCATGAAAAACATGTGTACTGTGTATGCCTGAAGCATTAAGCATATGCTAAATTAAGCTGCTATTTTCAGAATCTCATTTTTTCCTTTTTCCAAAAAAATGGCTTTAAAAATTGCTTGTAGTTTGGCACTCAGGATATTAGCTCATACTGGACGTACAGATTTCTGACTTTGTACTCTGAGATAACCTTAATGCTACTTAAGAATAACACCTGTTCAGATGGAATGGACCTGATCATTAGCCATCACAATCACCAGATTTGATATGTATGCATTTCTTTTTGGGTATGTGAAGGACACTCTGTATAAAAGTCTCATTGAGTCTGATGAAGATGTAGTGGCCAGGCTTTCAGCTGCTGGAAATGTGTGTGAAATGCCTGCAATTTTTTTTTAACGCAGGTCAATCAATGCTTCACCACTTACTGTTGGTGGTCACGTGTTCACACACCTATTTTAAAAAAACTGAAACATTAAATTAAAAAAAAAAAGTGTTTATCATTTACCTGTTGTTCATATATATTTTTTTATATGTCAGCAAATACGTAGGTTATTTTTTTTTCAAGGTCCGATTGGTCGCTAAATGAAAATCACAGTGAGAATCAAGAAAATTTTATGTGGAACAATGTGATACAACATTAAGCTACGTTTCAACGTAATTGCCGTTTCGATTCATACATTTGTCATAGCGGAGTACCGATTTTCCAATACCTTCGTCATAGAAAGCAGCTGCCTGTGTTTTTAGCCAATTCTGTGTGCTGGTCTGCAGCTCGTTTTCTGTGGCAAAATGCTGTTCTCCTAGCCAGTGTTTCATGTGGGCAAAGAGATGAAAATCCGAGGGAGCCAAGTTGAGACTGTATGGTGGGTAATAAAAAATTTCCCATCCAAAATGCTGCAAGAGGATCCTTGTTTCACCTGCAGTGTACACGGCCGCACATTGTCATGAATGAGGACAATACCTGATGATAACATTCCTCTTCTCTTGTTCTGAATTGCCATTCGAAGAGTCATGTAGTATGAAGCTGCTATGATGGTTGTGCCATGGGGCATGAACTCCACCAAGAAAACACATTTTCAGTCCCAAAACACTGAAGCCATGCACTTTTTGGTGGAGAACATGCACTTGAACTTCATTGGCTTATGACTTGGGGAGTGTGAATTGAATGCATCTACTGTTTCGATTGCTTTTTTGTTTCTTCAGTTGCATAATGCACCCGTGTCTCATCTCCTGTGACATTTTTGTCCAAAAACTCATCTCTGTTCTGATGGTAGTGCTGGAGGAAGGTTAATGCAGCATCCATTCACTGAGTTTTTGTGATGGTCAGGCAGCATCTTGGGAACCCATCTCGTTCAGAGTTTGCGGTACTCGAGTCTTTCATTCACAATGCTATAGAGAGCTGACTGTGAAATTTCCGAAACCAAATCACTCAACCCAGAAATTGTGAACCAATGATTTCCACGAATCCCCTGATCTATGTGCTGAACAAGATCATTGGTTGACACTGGTTTCCTTCCCTGGCTGCCTGCATCATGAACAACTGTGCATCCAGCTTCCAAATTCCTGCACCATTTCCACACTTTGCTGTCACTCATGAATGTTTCTCCGAACAGTTTACTTAATTGTCTATGAATTTCAGCTGCATCGCATCCGTCAGCATGCAGAAATCAAATGACTGAACGCAATACACATTTGGCGGGAGACTCTATTTTTCGAAGCATGTTTATGTGTTCCCTATGTACTCAGAAATGACAACTGCGTACGAACGATGGACCCCTACGAATTGACATGATCTCTGGCCCAACTAGAGACACTGTGCAAGACATCTGCGCACAGACCTGGCAGATTTTCCACGAAGCTTTCTTTTAGTGACCAATCGGACCTTGAAAAAAAAATAGCCCTCGTACATATGCCATTTCTGCACACATATTCCGCTGCAGAATCTGCTTGGTTCAGTTCCCTATACCTGCAACTGCATTTTTGCTAGATATTTTAGAATTATCCTGTGTATGTATATGCACTACTTACAAATATTAAAGAGCACTGACCCAAAAAAAAAAAAAAAAAAAAAAAAAAAAAAAACTGTCACTTAACCCTCTGGTTGCTCATCCCGTGATTTCCACGGGCAACTCAAATGTATCAAAAATCTGCTTATTCCAAGATTTTCGCGGGCATGTGTTTTTCTTCCTTTATTTGAAAGTGCATCATGCCTTTTCACCCTTTAACCCGTGAAATAAATTATATACAGCATTAGACATGTAATTTTACTTTTGACCAACAGATGTCGTTAGACGTTCTCTAAATTGCGGCATATGAAGGTTCTTGGCATTTACCACTCTAATTTCACTATGTTTGCTGCCTTTTTCTAATCAGAAATGGCTGCTTGCTCAGTGATTGACAGAGTATATATTCCTGATGATTTATCATATTCTGAAAGTAATTTTAGTTATACTGATATAGATGTTTCGGACTGCTCCTCAGGTAGTGAAGCCTTGAATCCTGTTTCAAACTCTATCACACTAAACTACATTTCTAAGGTATTTTTCCATTAGTGCATTATATTTTCTCAAGTTATTATGTAATAAATAGAAATTAACCGTAATTCAATTAAATTTATTATTATTATTATCTTTTGTGTTAACATCTGAAAATGGTTTTTCTGACGTCTTAGTTTCTCATGGTAAAAATCTATATAAAAAATCTTTTCTAGAAAAGGGGGGGATTTTTTTAAAGCGATTTCGGTCCACGAAAATTGAGCAGTCAGAGGGTTAATGAAAAATAATTTAAATTAGCTTCTACAAAAGCATTAGTTGATATGCATTACAATAGTGACCATAAAATTAATTTATAGATATTGAATTTTAATTTAATTATATTGAAGTCACTTTATGGAAATTCATAAATAATGGCAAAATGATCTATTTTGTAGCAAATCTTTCCTTAATATATGTGGTCAGATCTGATAGAAATGAAAAAACCTTACATCTTGATTTCATAGAATTTACTAAAACTGTTGATTGAGTCTTATTTAATTATATACCACTCTTCTGAAAGTATACTTTTCATATCCTAGAGGGCCTATGGAGTCATTTGACAGTGTCTATTATCCAAGCACACACACATGCCTGTAATTACACATTGACATTGATTCTATTTGATTTTCAGCAGATTTATTCCTAGAATGGTTTTAATTTTTATATTCAACTATTTGTCTTAAAATGTTCTAAAATATTAATCATAAGAAACTCTGAGTCTCTGCTCCATGATGAAGATTCGTAATTTTGCATGATCATTCCACCTTTTTCATTAATTGTATTATTCATTTTCTAACCTAAACTTTTTTTGTTCTCGTTTGCCAACCATGAAGTGTAAAAAATTTTCTTATAAAAACTACTTTCTTAATTGTATAAGTTCTAATTTGTATAGCATATGGCATATTAATTAATGAAATTAATTTTATTTTTGAATTTTTGTCTCTATTTTATGTATACATAAGTTTTTTTTCTTTGTCTGGGCCCACCAGCGTCGAGCGGTAAAGACGCTGAACACTGGTAGTTCGGTCCGAGGTTCGAATCCCGCGAATGGGCTGGCTGCATGGGCGTTTTCGTGGTTTTCCCCATGTGTAATGTGTATACGAGCCAGTTTCCCTTAGAAAGTCCTCCACGATGGCACTCCTCCCTTTAGGCAGATAGCCTTCGTGTGCTTTGCCATAATTGAATAACCAACCCTCTTCTTTGTGTGGATATTGGTAGTTTGTGTTGATAAATAAACAGACAAAAGTAATGAAAATTTGCTATATTTTTTTGTTGGATTTATTTTGATTTATTCCAAAATTGTAAAGATACTTTTATTTTTAGATATCATGGACACAAAAATGAAAATTACCGAATTGAAAGTTGTCTCAATAACACAGATTCCCTTATTATTTCTGGATCAGAAGAAGGCTGTGTATATTTCTGGGATTTAATTGAAGTAAGACAAATTAACTTTTTATCATCAAAAAATTATTTTTACTGAAGCTTTATTTGATGTCAGTTTAGCTATAATAGTGTATTGTAGCATGTGTAATAGTGTATTGTAGCATGTGCATGAGTTCGTAATAGATTGAATGCACACAGGTCCAATGATAGGTTGATAAAATCTATTTTATCAAAAGAAATACTTCAGAGTTTTGGAACTTTCCACAGAAATACTTGTAAATGTGTTCTAAGTATCACAGAATACAATTAGCAGTTACTCTTCAAGCTACAGTCAAAAGTCCGGACTCGTTCGGCGATTCCGGATTATAGATCATCAGTTTAAATATGGTAAGATGGCATGCAGAAATTACAAAATTAAAAATATGAAACCGTAATTTATGAAATAAAGAACAATTATGATCTAAAAGGTATCAAAATTTACAAAAAGAAAAAGCTTAATATTTATTTGTTTACTTTATTAAACATTTCTTTCAATGTAAGTTGCTTCGTTTCATGTGATCATACTTTCTCTTTAATTCTATTAAACAGACATAATTTCTTGTTTAGTTACAAAGTTCCGCTGTTCAAGTCCTATAATTGCTGTGTCGAGTATACCGACTAATTTGTCAATCGAAATTTTTTCATTTTCAATAACATCTGTGTCTTTTTCTTTACTATCGGAAGCGAATTATAATGACGAGGAACTTGTTTTAAATCATATCAAAGACGGAGTACATCGAGATGAAATACTACATTTAGTAAGGAATTATAAGCCAAATAAAATAGAAACATTTGCCCTGAAGATAAGGATAGTGCTGACAGATCAACTTCCAATTCATTGTGCACCGTGGCGTTTCCCCCGCCGAGCAGTGTGAAATTGATAAACAGATTTCGGATTTCGAAACATACTTTTGCTTTAGATCCTTTACATATTAGCAAATATATATCAGAAATTCTATTTGATATAATCGAAAGTTCAAGCTTAATTTTATAAAATTGCTCTAACAGTGTGCAAAAAATAATAAGCCGGATCCAATTCGAAGATTAAGGAACAACGCAATCTGCAACATTAACTGAATTAGATAATTTTAGCTTAGCTTATACCATCCGTTATACATTAAACGCGCATGCGTAAACATTTTATGCCCATGCGCACACGCACATTCGCAGCCGTAAAGGTCTTACGCCCACACATAAATGCCTATGCGCATGCGTCAACGCGACGCATGCGCAGAAAGTTTGTAGCTTTTAGGTCCGGATTATGGGTGTCTGAATTAACGACTTTTGACTGTACTAAGAATGTTAAACACAGCAGAATGCAGAGCTTATCTAAAAGCTCTCCAAAGTTGCTCTGAGCTAACAACTACAGCTGAGGGCAGATTGTCTCTCCGGCCTTATATAGTTTTCACCCGACCGCTGAGATATTTCTAGTACTTTCTGCTCCTTGAAATTACTGAAAGGCATATGGGGGTCGAATACAGTTACACAGAGCATCAATTACAGTTATTTAATTACTATATTCATTACAGTTATACATGGACAGGACAAAAATGTCGTCAAATGGTCATTCAGTTTTTGCGACAAAAATTAGTTGCCAAAACTGTTACCAGCTTGGCAATATTTTGCGAAATTAATGAGATAACCATTTACTCAGCGAGACTTGCCCTTGTATTCTTATTTTTCCTGCAGAGCATCGTTTCTTTAGATTTTCATGTTACATTTTATGGAAAAAATACAACAATTTTATGCATAATTTCACTGAGATTATGTGTATATGTACAAAATTCATAACAGTATAATACTTCTATCTTATCCTACCCCACAATTTGATGTAGTTTGAGTGCCATTCTGAACTTTTATGCTAAAGGATAAATTATGAATTTTGTATATTTTTACATTTTTGTTAAAAGCCAATCTAAAACAAGTAGTTTTCTAGCTGTAATTTAATATTTTGTGTTCTGGTTTTATATTGCAAAATAATTAAAGCAATGAAAATATTGTTCTACATAGCAAAATTTGTTTTATATATTATTAGTTAAAATAAATAACTGTAGTGAATTTTGGCTCTATTTTTATGAAATTTAATAACATGTAACATTAAGCATTTAAAAATTTTTACAGTATATATTGGTATTTTGTAGTTTTACAGAAACTCCTTAAACATTTACAAGTTTCTGAATGTAGATAATTTTTTATAAATTATTTATTTCACATATTTCCTTTTTCCCAAATAATGAAATTCTCACAAAATGTCCTGGCATCTGTTGACATAAAAAAAAAAAAAAAAAAAAAAAAAAAAAAAAAAGTATTAGCAAAATCAAATATAATGAAAGGAAGTACCAAATATAAATAAATAGCAGTATTATTATTTATGTTTTTAACTGACAAAAGAAACTGATTTTTTAATAAGTTGTGTAAAATTTGCATAATTTAAAGCCCCTTTCTCTGTTTTAAGTAGATAAATTTTTGTTTAATTTCCCTTTACCTAGTTTTGTGTTGACCTATAAAAAGATAGAGTATTTTAATACTTTAGTCCTGTTAATTTTTGCTGTTAGTGTGTAAGTGTATGCAAATGGAAAACTTCAAAATAGAGATTTAGAATTTATTAAACGTTTTTATATAAAACAAGTAGTTTTCAATTCATGCATTAAAATGTTTAGTTATACTATTAGGTTATGAATGAATCTTTTTTTTTCCCCAAAAGAAAGAAGTGTAGTTAGATATATGGCCGATTTATGTATTTAATTGTTTATACATTTTACTTTTATCTTTTAAGTCCATCTAACTCATTCCTTTTCTTTCCTTCTTTAAGGGTACAATAAAATCCAAGCTGGAGCACATTGGACACAAAGTAGTACATTCTGTTTCATTTCATCCATTAAAACCTGTTATGCTCACAGCTGCTGAAACAACTGTGTATCTTTGGACAAATTCTGTATCTACAGAAGAAACCTCTGACTAATCAAGCAATTATTTTGTTATTTTATGTAAACTAAATGCTTATCATTAGCACTGATATATATATATATATATATATATATATTTCAAAAAAATAGTTATTGCAAAATCTGTCATAGTGACTAAAGTGACTTGTATATTTGAGAATATAAATAAATGGCAGTATTGAATATCGTTGCAGAGTTCTATAATGTAACCACATTTGCACTTCTGGGACAAAATTATCTGGAATCTGTCATAGTGCAAAATCTGTCATAGTGACTAAAGTGACTTGTATATTTGAGAATATAAATAAATGGCAGTATTGAATATCGTTGCAGAGTTCTATAATGTAACCACATTTGCACTTCTGGGACAAAATTATCTGGAATTCTTTGTGGTAATCTCATTGAGGTTTTCAGCTTTTTTTAGTCCAAAGGGGCAATTTGCTCTCAAGGACTATTAATTTCGTTTTGGCATTTTGCGTAGGCTCCCTATAAATGTCGGTTCACTTTTCAAATTGTTGCCACCAAATATTTTTGCCCTTTGTTATATTTAAATAAATTAAATAATGAAGAATCTCCATAAATGTATGTATGTTTCTCACACTAGGATAAAACAGTGGTACCTAGAGCTATCAAATTTTGAATAACATAATCGTCTACCATATATGGTGATCTGGAAGCCCAGATTTGGAAATTGAAATTTGTTTTATTATCGATTTCATATTTTGTTGCACTTTAATGAATTTTTGATTAACAAACTCTTTGATTTCAAAGCAAGCGATAACAACACTGTATTGGGGGGGATATTCTTATCTCCGAGACTGTGTATTGGAAATTCTAAAGCTTTTCTCATTTTAAAATTATTTTGCAATATTGCTGTTGAATTGGATTTTATGGTTTAAGTGCAAAGAACATGATATTTAATAATTGAAGGTAACACACAAAACGTTAAAGAAACGCCTCTTTGAGCGTAATGTAAAATCTGAAAGCTTTCAGATTTTTTTTTGAAAATTTCTTTCATTTGATAATTAAGTTTTCCCATTCTCTTCATGAGTGTATAAAATATTATAATATACAATAGTATCTGTGAATGATGAAGTACTTTCTTTCATTTTCCTTCTGTCTGTCTCCCTTCCCCCTTATTGTTAAAAGTATTTGTAAAATGTCTGCTGCAAATAAATTATGGATTTGAGCAATAATTAAGGAAATAGCATCTTTGAATCATATAGGTTCACTGCATGTTTGATTTTCAGCAGAATAAACTGACTGTGTGGGTATTTTATGGGTTCTTCCCATATTTAACATTAATATTACAGTTTCATACAAAAATTATTCACTAATGCTTAAGTACATTATTAATGTACATTAACTCACACACTTACCTGCCACTGTTAATGAAGAAGTCTTTATTCCATTTAATAATGATGAAAAAGAAAGGAAACAAAAGCCACACTCAGATGATAGTATTGCAAATTTTGTAAATTGTTAATTCAAAAAGAACCTCTTGTCAACTTTCTTATCTAATGCAGAAAGTGTTCCTTGGAACTTCATATCATTAAAAGCTATGTGAATCAGGTTGCTTATATATCACATATATCAGTAAAAGCTATATGAATCTAGGAAGCTATATTAAAAGCTATATGAATTAGGTCAATGGCAATAGAGCATTTTTGTACTCCATTAATAATCATTTAATTTCTTATTTCAATTTTACATAAATCTGGATGCTTTATATAAATTTTTCATATATGTGAATATTTCACATATGTAAATAGAAATTAAAAATTCCTATTTGTGTAAAAAAAATTATGCTTGTAAGCGATATCATTTTAAAATGCTGAAAAATGACTGTAGATAGTCAATACAATACATCCAAAACCTGGATGTTGTATAATGGGAAGGATCTATTATCTGGACCTCTCATGAAAATTTTTTTTAAAGAGATTTTTATTTTCTTGCACAGTGTAGAAGCAGAGAATATGGTACTCAAAAGCAAATGTGCTGTGATTTCATTTTTGTCCTGATTAGCTGTGATATTTCTTTTTCTGAAAAGGATCATTATCTATGATAGTATTGAATGACCCTGCATGTTGGTTCACCTACCAGATAATGAACCATATTTTTATTTTCAGCTCTTGAGTGGTTTTGTGTGTGTGTGTGTGTGGGGGGAGATATTCAGCATTTTTCTATCTTATCAATCCTATACGTGGTAAGTGAAACCTGAAAAACCTATGTTTGAAGTGGAATGATAAGCATACTGGTTTTCCCACGTTGGCATAGTAGAGAAGGGGAAAAGAATTAGGTAATTACCTGAGTTCAGCTACAAATTGCACCCTTTCTTAACTTTCTGATTTAATTCAGCCTTTATTTTGTTCAGTCTATTATCAATGCTGTTATCTTATCAAAATTAAAGTTTTAGTAAAAGACAATGTTCCCATTTTACTCATACTCCAAAAATTATACATCTAAAGACTATCATCAGAAAACATAGCTATATCAGGATACAGTCACATTTTAATTTCATGAGGTTGCTATTCAAACAGTATTATTTGTGCAGGATAATTATTTCGTGTAGGTAAATGGGATAGCCGTTTATTCATCTTTTGGCAAATCTCAAATCGTAAAAAACCATTTCGATTTAAAGAAAGGTGTCAAGAGGATTTGAAAGAAAACTGCAGGAATATGTGCAGGAACTGATGGAATATGTGGAGAAATATTAAACGAAGATGATATAACTAAAGTCTTTTTTGCAATGACAGTGTCCCAGTCAACAGTCTATAAATTGATGGTGGAATCTTTGGAATGGTTTTAAATTTGAAAATATTTATACTGATTGTGAAGAAAGAATGTGATAAAGAGGTTGTTGAGAAGGAAAAATTTCAGTTGACTATTTAGTAAGAATTCTCAAAGCAGCAATTATATGAGTTTGTACCTAAACAAAATGTTATGTAACCGTATCTAAACAAGAAATTGTGACTCTCTAAAATTAAAGAGATAGATGACACTTAAGATGAAATAGCTTAAATAAGCTATTTCATGATGAAATAGCTTAGGCTCAAAGAAATGTTTAATAAAAAATAAATGTTAATATTGAGCTTTTTCTTATGAATTTTTTAATATTGTAATATTATTGCCAGAATAAACTTTTAAATGTTCTGAAGTGAACCTTCAAGACTGTTTTTGCTGTTTGTGGTTAGTGTTTGTTGTAAAACTATTAGAATTCCAGCAGAGTAGGTTGACTACATTCAGTGCTATCTTTTATCTGTATACTATTAGTCACTACAAAGGGCATGTATGGAACAACTCCAGAAGTTATTACCATATATAATTTAAGGGGCCATATATGATCCAAGACCTTGCACAGCTTTAGAGGCTTTAAGAAATCAGATTACCCATTTTTATGTTTATTAGATAACCACATATACAACAGATAGTTCATTGATTGCTAGGTCTTCAAAAGAGTTTTGGATGTTCTTTCTTTATAGGCCAAAGGTATTCCAAAGATATTCATCTCTTAAATCACCTTAGTATTTTTTTATGGTGCTAAAACACTGAGTTTTTTTATTATTGATATAGAAGTTATTTGGAAGAAAACGTAATATTATGTGTAAAATATAGAATTATTTTTTGTGAGATGCTTAAGATACTGTTTATTCTCACAAATGTAATTTTTTAAATAACTCAATCCTTGGTGAATTGTTAAAAAAGATGCATAATATGAAATTAGTTTTTCTAACCAGTTTTTTCTGATAATTAAAAAAATATTATATTACTAATTAACTTTTTTAAGGAAGATATGTTTGCTGTAAACTGAATTCTGATATTTATATAGATTGAAATATTTAATAAAGATATGATATTAAAATATGTCTGAAATATTACAGATAAATATTAGGTAATATTTCTTAACCCGGCGGAAGTCGCACCAAGAAAGGTTACTAGAGTGGGCACATACCCCAATATTTAAAATACAATAAAAATAGTTTTATTTAGTTTTAAAGCTGTTTTTCTTGTTCTCGTGTATTATAAATACGTGAATAATAATTGGGTTTCAAAAAATTAATTTCCAAAATAATCTTAGAGTTAAAATAAAGATAAATGAAAATAATAAAAAAATAAACATCATGCCTCTAAGTTTCATTGCATCTCTAATACACAATGTTTATTTTTTTCCCTCACACTTTGAAAGAAATACATTCATGTGTTCTTTTCACAGAATGTTTTCACATTTTAAACATTGCATTCACGTTCTTCTGTCCTTAGCATGAGGGCAAAACTTTTATCACATCTTTCATACTTAGTTGTTTCGAATTTCATGTATGTGTTTTAATTCTTCGTCGAAACTTCTGCTTTTGTTTTGCATGCAGTACGTCAGTTTCTTGGTAAAGTATTAATCTCTGATTCTTTGTTCAGTACTTTTTTCATTAATTGTAATGCTTTGTTTCTGGTTGGTAGATTAGCAGTTAAATGTAATATAATTCAAGCATTTATTACAGCAACATTCAGTGCAGGAAAGAAAATTACCATTGGCCACCTCATTGTTATTCTGGCAATTAAATAATTGGCTGACATTTCATCCCCCATATCCACTGCTCCTTTAGTCATATTATAACAACATATAATTCCTGACGTTTTATGTTCTCCAATAATATGATCGTTATATAATGTTGAAAGCATAAGAACAGTTTTTCCTTTTTTAGGAACATCAGGAATTAATCTTTTATCTTTTTCGAAATGAAAACAGTGTAGAAAATATTTTTAGTTTCATCTTCAGTTTCCGAAATGCAATCTTCATCGCTTTCAGATATTTCTAATAAATATCACAGGCGTTGCATTTCAAATTTATAGGAAGTCATTCGTTTCACCATAATGCAGTTAGAAATTTTTAAGAATTTAATTTCAAGTACTTTAAAATTGCTTGCGAGTAAAAATATTTACTGTTACACTCTAGAAATAAATTTCTGAACTAAATATTGTCAGTGGGTGTGGGTGTATTTATTTATGGCAAAGCACACTAGGGCTATCTGCCTAAGAGGAGGGATGCCTTTCGTGGAGGACTTTCTAAGGGAAACTGGCTCATATACACGTTACACATGGGGAAAACCACGAAAACACCCATGCAGCCAGCCCGTTCGCGGGATTCGAACCTCGGACCGAACTACCAGTGTTCAGCGACTTTACCGCTCGGCCGCTGGTGGGCCCTAAATATTGTCAGAAAAACACTTACGCGGACAGGCGTGTGAGGTGTGTCATACCCCAGTTCCAACAAAATATCAATAAATATTTTTCTGAAACACACAGGCAAAGAAAAAGTGGTTCTGAAAG